CGTTCTGCTCACTTTGTATCATTAATCAATAAAAACATGAGTGTCGTCTGAAAGCGAAGCTAGAAATCTTGGTGTTTGGTTTGACTCTAAGTTTCAATTTCAAACACATATTAACAAGACATGCCAGTCAGCGTTTCACGTATCTATATTATAAGACGTAGACGTACATTTTTATCATTTGAAGCTACGAAGACGTTAGTTCAAGCATTAGTCATCAGCCGCCTGCATTATTGCAATTCAGTCCTATATGGTATACCGGCTATCTACACGAATAAACTTCAACGCATGCAAAAACGCAGCCGCGAGACTTCTCACAAACACACCACGCTGCACACGCATATAACACCTGTCATGGTAGACCTTCATTGGCTGCCGGAAAAACATAGAATAATTTTTAAAGTTATCTCATTTACCTTTAAAGCTGTACATAGTCTTAAACATGTCTTGCACCTGCATATATTACTAGTCTTTTATCTTCTAAAAAGTCTAGGTATAACCTAAGGTCTGTTGGTAACCACATTCTTACGAGGCCCAAAATAAAATCAGCAAAGCCTACTGGAGACAGAGTCTTTGCGGTTGCTGCTCCATTCTTATGAAATGTATTGCCACCCAGTCTTAGGAATATTGGCAGTATTACTTTATTCAAGAAACAATTAAAGACACATCTTTTTAGGGAAGCATATTTTTAGATATTTTACAGTTTTTATCTATTCGACAATTTATTATTATACTACATTCTTAGTTAGCTACATTTCACGGTCAGTCTTATAAAGTGTTATTTTAAGTACTATATCAAATGTAATAATAGTATCATTAATTGTAAATAATATTTTTATGGTTAGTTTTCCTTTTTCAACTTGTAAAGCGCATTAGATCATATATGTAATGAATTTTGCGCTATAGAAATAATAAATTTATTATCATTATTATTCTTATTATTTTAATTCATCTCAACAATACAATATGGGGAGTGATCTGCGGGAAAAATGACAAGAAAATTTGACAGAAAGTCTCGGGAGACAGGAGGGCAATATTTAAACAGCTCGGTTACTCTTGACAATCTTAAATATTTTTTAATGGTAGAGATAAAAATCCATGTGGGTTGTACCGCATACTCAGCCTTTAATGCCAGCTACACTAGTGTCATTAAGAATCTCTGATAGAGTAGTACTTACTAATGTAAGACCTTTAGGGGCGCGTGCCCCTAAACCTTGGAAACCATTTAGAAAGGCCTCTAGGCTGTTTGCCTCGATCTGTTCTTAATATTGTCTGGCTAAGGATGAGAACTGATTACTGAGGGAGGGAGGGTGAAAAGCTGTTTATTACTCCATTAGGACAAGAAAGAGAGATCCTGGAAAATTTCTTTAATTTTCCAATGTTTTCAAGAGATAAAAATGATTAAATTGTTTCTACAGAAACGAATCCTATTATTTTTCTCTTCTTCACTGATTTCATTTATCTGAATCAAGTTTGTTACCCAGGAGTAAGATGGCACTTAGAATAAGAAACTATTAAAATTACTGTCAAGAATTAGGCTATAGAGCAAAGGAGTATGGACTCGAGAGTCAACTATCTCGAGTGGAAATGAACTGCGAATAATCTAATGATTTGTAGAAATCTACTTGTCACCCAAACCTTCTCCACATACAGGCTCATGTTTTTATTGATTAATGATACAAATGGAGGAGTTCACGTTCTGCTCACTTTACTTACTCTATCATGGAAAAGATAGCGTGTGAGGAAGCCAATCAGATTGCAGCATTCATGATGGAGCGTCAGTGGATTACTAGTAAGACTTGTTGGGATCATTTCTATCC